TTATTAACTAATCGATCACTCTCCGCTGAGTAATGAAAACCAAATATCAAATTAATCTTTTTATACCCGAACGCATTTGTGCACAAGGGTATTATAACTTTGTGCACATAACGGTTGTTTGTAACAGGCAAAACGAATCGAGATAGATATAGACAAATGTATACATAAATGATCAGAATGAAAAGAGAAATCGATTAAGCGGTGACTGTCTGTCCGTCCGTCCGTCCGTCCGTCCGTCCGTCTGTGCACACGATAACTCGAGTAGAAATTGAGGTATCTTAACGAAACTTGGTATGTGCACTTCTTTCGGGCGTGGGACGGACGGTATTCAAAATGGGCAAAATCGGACAATAACCACGCCTACCTCCCATATAACGGTAATTTTCAGAAATACGAAAACTGCGATATTTTATTAACTACTCAAAATTTATATTTACAAGTTTTAGACGAAAAATAAGAATATTATAAAATTTTGGAAAATGGGCGTAGCCACGCCCACTTATGGTTACATGTGTATATCTTGGCCCACATCCAATAGAACGGTAATTTAGAGAAATGCGAAATCTTCGATAAATCAGTAATTATTGAAGCTAATTTATTCAAAATTGATGCTAGCAACAATTCGTTACCAAGAAATACGTTTAGGATAAAATTTTGAAAAATGGGCGTGGCACCGCCCACTTATGATCACATATATGTATCTCGGTAACCGTTATACCAATTTGTACCAAACTCGGTGTGGTTACTGTGCTTGCCACATAGAAGCAAAACGTTGAAAATTATTGGAATCGAACTAAAATTGCGGGCGCTTTTCATATAACAGTAAATTTCAGAAATGCTTGAAACTTCAATATTTCGAAATTTAAGGACGCTAATTTACTCAAAATGGATACACCTCGGTTTACCATGTAGAGGTAGCTTTCGGAAAGGTGAAAAACATATATTTAATACTTGCGCCGGCTATTTAAGGTTCGGCTCCGCTCGAACTTAGACTTTCTTACTTGTTATATACTACATTTGTATTCTTTTTATATGTCATATGAATACGGCAAATCCATTTTATAGTATTAAAAGTTAAGAAATTTCCAAATCCATATAATGTTTATAACTTTCAATATCAATGAATGGGACATCTGAGCGAAGTGTGATATCATCTCCAGTAACAATTTCAATTTCCCCGTTACTTAAAATTTTCTCGAATGCAACCTGGCGATACACAAAACAAGAAATATTCAGTTTACGTTGAAGGAAATCACTATCATATGTACAGCGAATTCATAGCATAATATTATCTTCATATTGAAGCTGAAAATGTCTATAAAAGGGTTGTGAGCTCTCAATTATTCCCGAAATATTTTTCT